TGGCATTGCAGGAGAAAAACCCCCAGCAGCTCCTCCGAACCCTGGCTTTCTTGCCCTTCTTGGTCCTGGTGCGGCTCGCAGAGGGAGAAGAGCCAGCAGAAGGCTGAGCCGAAGCAGACGGCGCAGGCAACGGAGCAGGTGAGGCATACGGTGCTGGCGCGGAAGGCCCTGTGCGCCTTCGGCGATCTGGACACTCATCTGCATTATCAGCTGGCTCAGGTTCCTCATCGTCATCCTCAGCATCCTGAGATCGACTTTCATCCTGAGATCGAAAATCTGACGTGTTGGCCCGAGCAGGTACCTCCTCGCGCCGACGATACCGTGAAACAGGCAGCACCCCGACCTGGCCACTGAGACGCTCCCCCGATTTAAGGCCTTGGCCACCCATGGGGCTCGGAGGGTCTGCAGCAACCAGGTCTGTCGACGAGTGGGCCCCAGCTCCAGCCGATCGGACTTCCCCGAAAGCCTCAGAGCGCTGTCCTCCATCATGAGGGTAATCGGGAAGGTCCATCTCGGCCTTCTCAGCTGAGCCCACATGGGATTGTGCCGAACGCGTACCCGCAGCAGTCGATCCTGAAGTGGCCGTCGAACGTGACGCCGCTGCATACATAGGATCATGACGCGCATCCTGGAAGGACAAATCCGTGCGCAATGCTGGAACTTGAAACGCCAAGCCAGCCCACTCGGAAAACTGGGGGGGGTCACTACCGGCTCGAACCCCCCCCCCTCCGGAAAACCGAGGGGGGTCACTACCTGTTCGACCCCCCCACCCTCGGGAAAACCGGGGGGGGTCACTACGGGTTCGAAACCCCCCCCACAGAATATCGCGGGGGGTCACTCCCAATTCGAATCGCCCCCCACCCCCTACGCTCGCCGCCGGCAAACGACTCTGGGGTCCCTACCACCGTCCGCACCACATCCCCCACCTGCTGTCCCCAGCACCACTGTCCTCACCACTACTGTCCCCGCTGTTCCCACCACCGTCCCCACTGTCCCCACCTGTGCCCCCAGCACTATCGCACTGTTCACACTTCCCCCACCACTGTTCCCACCTCGGTCCCACTCTCCCCACTTTCCCCACGGCCCCAGCCACTGTCCCACTGTCCCCACTATCCCACTGTCCCCGCCGCTGTCCCACTGAGCTGCCCCACTGTTCCCACCACTGTCCCCACCACTGTCCCCACCACTGTCCCCACTGTACCTGTGTCCCAGTGTCCCACCGCTGTCCTCGCCACCGCCCTCACCACTGTCCCCTCCACCACTGTCCCCACCACTGTCCCACTGTCCCCACCACATTCCCACTGTCCCCACAACACTGTCCCCACCACCACCGTCCCCACCACCACCGTCCCCACCACTGTCCCACAGCCCCCACCACTGTCCCACTGTCCCCACTGTTCCCACCATTGTCCCCGCTGTCCCCACCAGTGCCCCCACCAGTGTCTCACTGTCCCCACTTTCCCCACCCACTTCCCCCACGGTCCTCACCACTGTCCCACTGTACCCACCACTGTCCCACTGTCCCCGCCGCTGTCCCACTGAGCTGTCCCACCGTGCCCACTGTCCCCACCACTGTCCCACTGTCCCCACTGTCCCCACCACTCTCCCCACTGTACTACTGTCCCACTACTGTCCTCACCACCGCCTTCATCACTGTCCCCACCACTACCGTCCCCACCACTGTCCCACTGTCCCCACCACTGCCCCGCTCTCCCCTCACCACTGTCCCCACCACCACCGTCCCCACCACTGTCCGCACCTCTGTCCCACTGTCCCCGCACCACTGTCCCCACCACCACCGTTCCCACCACTGTCCCAATATCCCCACCACTGTCCAACTGTCCCGAAGAGCGGGAATCGTTTGCCGGCGGCGAGGGGGGGGGTTCGAACCGGTAGTGACCCCCCCCTGGTTCTCGCGGGGGGGGGTTCGAACCAGTAGTGAACCCCCCCCTTTTCATGATGGACTGGGTGGTGCGGGGGGGGTTCGAACCGATAGCGAACCCCCCCCTTTTCATGATGGACTGGGGGGTGGGGGGAGGGGTTCGAACCAGTAGTGACCCCCCCCCCGATTTTCGAGGGGGGGGGACGGGGGTTGGGAACCCCCCGTGACACCCCCCAGTTTTCCGCCAGCAGCGGTAGAACACGCTCTTTCGGAGCTCCAGGCGCAGAGAGGTCCCCTGGAGGCCCCAAGAGGCTCCCAAAAGGCCCCCTAGAGGCCCCCAGAAACCACCAAGAGGCTCCGCAGAGGCAGAAATTAGCGAATGTCTTTAAATGTTTGTTGGCGTTCTCGCCTTGGGGGCTTACCAGCGTTCCAGATGGCCCAAGAGGTTCCAGGATCGCCCCAACACTGCCTAAGAGGCCTCCCAGAGCGCCCACAACGGCCCCAGAGGGCCCCAAGACAGCCCCAAAGGCTTCCAAGATGGCCGAAGAGGCTCCCAAGACGGCTCCAAGAGCGGACCCAGACGAGGGACCTGAGCGGACATTTCGAGCTCCAGGCGCAGCGAGGTCCCCTGGAGGCCCCAAGAGGCACCCAAAAGCCCCCAAGTGGCCCCAGAGAGGCCCAGAGAGACCCCAAAGAGGTCCCCAAGAGGCCCCCGCACCGCCCTAGGAGGTGTCCGACATACCGCCAAGAGGCCCAAAAAGAGGCCTCCTATCGTTTCAACAACCCCTCCGTCATTCTTCCCTCTCCTTCTTCTCCCCACTCTGCGTAAACGACCCTCCATACTCGAACGAAAGCGCACGGCCAAGAGGCTCCCGAGAGGCCTCCCAGAAGACCCCAGGCGACTCCCAAAGAGGCGCATGGTCCATGGCCAGTTTCGCCCCAACTTGACACAAAAAGCTCTCCAGAGACCTCCTCCTCATTCTCATTCCCCCCTGTCCCTCCTCCTACAGTGCTACAGTGCAACAGTGCTGGCTTGAAGGTCCTTGACCGAAGCGCGTTAAATTCCACGTGCATACTTAAGCGCCGCCACGGCCAGCCCTCATCATAGCACAAACATGGCGTTGTTCGAATTTATAATACAGGTCCAACGGCACAAAAGCCCTTGGGCCTCCTGGGGCACTACTTGGGAGTACTCACCTGCAGGGGCCCAGGGTCTGATATAACCCGCAAGTGGGTGAGCAGTCTCAACCTGCTGTGAAACTCCCAACCACAAGCTGGACAAGTGCTGCCGCTGACAATCTCCTGCACGGGGTTGCAGTGGAGGTGGAATTTAGACATATGGATTCTCCACCCCGCCGTACACTTAGCAAGAAACCCGCATTCATAGCCAGACAAAACCCACCGACCTGCCTAACAAAGTCAGGCCTCTGGAGGCCGCTGGCGTTGATTTCGGAAGCGAGGGCTCTTCTCCACTCTCTCAAGCACACCTGGTCCCTCTCATGGTGCCTAGACGCATTCCAAGCAGCCTTCAAACAAGACTTGAACGTGTCGGATTCGCTCCTAGCTTGCAACACTAAACACCGATGCTCCTTACCCATCCTACTCTGGAACTTAGGGGGGAGGAAACGAATCATCCACTCGATGTCCTGTCTGAGTTGGTGCGGCCACGACTTGTCTTGCTCCCATTGCATATCCAGGATGGTCCTGAGTTGCCAAGGGGCGTATTTCAGGAAACGAGGCAAAGAGAGGAGCTGCCTAAATCTCAACAGCGTTTCAACAGGAGCGCCTAAATCTCCGCCTCGTCCTCCTCCTTTACCTTTTCGCTCGCCACGAACACACAAACGTATAGCACCAATGATGCAAGATGGGCCAGCGGAATGAGCGAAGCGATAAAATAACTCCTCCCTGTCGCACCTCGAGGCCCGTCGGAAGGGCGGGCCGGGCGTTTCGCCTGAGATCTCCTGATCATTTATGTTCCTGAAGCTTAACAATTCGCAACGGTTTCATAGATGGAGGGCGGATTGTTTCCAGAATGCAGCTCCCGCCTAAGCGCCGCGCACATTCGTCTTACATAATTGCAAGTGCTTCAGGGATTGAGAGCGCGTCGTCTTCAAAATGCGGCTATCGACTGAGCGCCGCGCACACTCGTCTCAAAAGCATGTGCGCGAGCTTCGCGGATTGAGGGCGGGTCGTTTTCGGAATGCGGCTCTCGCCAGAGCGCCGCGCACATAGAGAAAAAACAAGTGTCTCACGGATTGAGGGCTGGCGGCTTTCAAAATGTGGCTCTCGCCTTAGCGCCGCGAACATTCGTCTGACAAGTTTGCAGAAGTTTAACGGATTTCAAGCGGCTCCTTTTCAAAATGTGACTCTCGCCTTAACGCCGCGCACACTCGTGTAAAAAATATGCCAGAGTTTGACGGATGCCAATGCTCAACATACCACAACCTCTGCTGTTTAAATGACTCAGGATTGCCAGGGCGCAGCAGGTACGCTGATTCGCGGTATTGAAGTCCCAGGTATGGCGTTCTGGCACGATTCAGGATCGTCAAGACGCAACAGTGAAGTTAATTCGAGGCGTTGGAGTCCCGAGAACGTTGTCTTGGCACGCTTCAGTACCCTCAAACGTCTGTCTCCCAACGGGGCACTTTGCTCGGTGAAGATGGATCTATGTATGGAGACGTTGACGAGTGAGCTTGCAGGGAGGGATTATCCCAACATCATTGATGAGTCTTGAGTTTACACTGGTCCTCCTCCTCCTCCTCCTGCACCTCCTCCTCCTCCTACTCCTCCTCCTCCTCCTCCTCCTCCTCCTCCCTCCCCCTCTTCCTCCTCCTCCTCCTCCTCCTCCTCTCCTCCCCCTCCTCCTCCTCCTCCTCCTCCTCCTCATCATCCTCGTCCTCCTCCTCGTCCTCCTCCTCTTCCTCTCCCTTCCCCTCCCCCTCCTCCTCCTCCTCCTCCTCCTCATCCTCCTCCTCCTCCTCCTCCTCCTCCTGTGTGAAGTTCCCGGGTGTGAGCGCCGAGGTCGAGAAGCCTTTCGAGGAGAAGGCCGTGCTCGAGAGTGTCGGGGCACAGCGCGGTCAGAGTACGACATGGTCGACAGCGACATCAGCATGGCCAGGTGCACGCACTGCTTGGTACGACACGGTCGACAGCGACGACGTTGACGACAGTGAGCGCTGTGGGGAGTGCGGCGAGTGCGGCCTGGACATGTGGTACAACGTCGAGAACGGCGACAACGACAAGGAGGTGCTGGAGTGCGCAGTTGGCGACTGTGTAAAGGCGCCTGTTGACATCGAGTACAACGTAGCCGTCTCGAACTCGTTCGGCATCCTGGACGAGGAGACGGTGTGCGAGATCGCAGGGCAGAAGGATCGCGGGCCGAATCCCACGGGCTCTGATGTCGGGAAGAAGCGGAAGCAGAAGGGCAAGCAGGCGGCGCACCTGTCAGACGTCGCGGCGGTGCCCTGCCAAGGCCGCCGAGGAGGACGTGTTCGAGGATATGTTCGATAGCGAGGTTCAGGCGACGATCGCGGGTGACGGCAAGGAGACGGGCTGCTCGGACGACGTCGTCCAGGAGACGATCGACGGTGACGGCGAGGTGAAGTCCGAGATCACAGTGAAGGCTTTGGCCCTAGAGCAAATCGCGCGCTGCCAGGAGCCAGGCGCGCGCGAACTTTTGGGACCCGAAGTGATCGAGTTCATCGACTCGGTGCCCGAGGTGCTGGCTGGCGCCATGGGGGTCCCAGGCGGGTGACCGCGGCGAGACCCGCCGAGGCCCGAGGCCCGAACGTGGGCTTCAAAGGACTCTCTGGGCTGGGGGAGGAACGGGGTAAAGTGGGCCTCGCTCTGGGTGCTCGGGCTCTGGGGGGGGGGGGGGGGCGGTCCCTTGGAGGCCCCAGGGGTGGACCGCCCCTCCTCCGCGGGGTGCGAGGCGTCATCGACGCATTTTCTGATTTCCATGGTTTCCCTCCTCCTCCTCCTTCTCATCCTGCTGCTACTCCTCCTCCTCCTCCTTTTCTCGTATTGCTTCTACTCCTCCGCCTCCTCCTCCTCCTTCTTTTCTCATCCTCCTCACTAGATCCTCCATCCCTCTTCCTTATGAATAGCTCCTCCCTGTCGCACCCTGGGACGGGTCGGATAATTTGGAATGTGCAACCGTTTCAAGGGTAAAGGGCGGGTGGATTTCAAAATGTGGCTCCCGCCTTGGCGCTGCTTACATTCGCCTTGAACGTGTGGTTCTCGCCATAGCGTAGCGTACATCGTCTCCAAAGTTTACAAGAGGTTTACGGATGAAGGGCGCTTCTTTGTCAAAATGTGGCTCTCGCCTTAGCGCCGCGCACATTCGTCTTAACAGGTTACAACAGCGACGGCTGACGTCCCTGACATGATGTGTTGGCACGATTTCGGACTGTCAGGGCGTGACAGCTACGTTGATTCAAAGTGATGACGTCCCAAAAACATTGTCCTGGCACGACTTAGGATCGTCAGGTCGCAAGAGTGACGTGCGGCGTTGAAGTGCTGGGAATAATGCTTCGGCACGGTTGAAGACTTTCAGACGGTTGTCTTCCAACGGGTCCCTTGCCGCAGTGAGAACAGATCCTTACAGGAGCCTGTGATGAGGGAACTTGGAGGAAGGTTTCACAACAACATCGTTGATGAATACTTGGTTTGCACTGGTCCTCCTCCTCCTCCTCCGCATCCTCCTCCTCCTGCTTTCCCTCGTCCTGTTTTCACTTTCTCAGACGACCATGAACGAAACGGGTCCTAGAAGAAACGGGTCCTGGACCCCAGTGTTTTTCCTGGACCAGCGTTTCGACCTGGGTCGTTCATGACGGCACCAGGGCCCGCGGAGGGGGGGGCGGGGGGGGAAGACGAAAACAGCGCAGAACCTCTAGGATCCTGTCCTCCTGGATCCGCTCCTGGATGCTGGGGCCCTGGGGAACTTCTCAGCAGCCCTCCCGCCCTCTGAGAAACCACCTGAGGCCCCAAGGGGTCTCCCAGAAGGCGGGCGAGTTTCCGAGAAGACACCCCACACCTTCTTAGGAGGCTGGCCCCCTCGCCCGTCCCCCTCTGGGCGCGCCGCCGAAAGGGGCGGCACAGCGAAGCAACCTCCAGGCCTATCCTGGGGGGCGCACATCGCGTGGTCTTGAAGGGGAGGCAGGGCCAGGAGCCCCTGCATGAAGGAGGCATCGGTTTCGCGGTGCATTCGCCCACTGGCCCCACCTTGGGCTAAACCCCTTCTGCGAGCCCCCGAGCATTGGCCCGAATTCTGGGGGGGAATCCAGCCGTGGTGACTAGAAACCTCGTGGACAACGACGCCCACGAACACCACGACGACGACGACGACGACGACGACGACGACGACGACGACGGCGGTGGCGGCGGCGGTGACGACGGTGACGACGGTGACGACGGCGGCGGCGAAGACCCAAGCCTCAGCGGTCTCCAGTGTTCCCTGGAGGTCCCGAAGGGCGTCTGGATGGGAGCCTCCGAGGGCCTGAAACGTGCCAGAAACGTCCAACAGCCTCGATCCTCGAAGCTCGAACATCAACCCTCGAATCCATGCTCTTCGATCCTCGATCCTCGATCCCCCGAGCATGAACCAGAACCGGCCTGGGGGGCCCGGCGAAAGGCGCGCGCCTCGCTCTCGTCGGCGCCCGGCTGCAGCCGCGGGGTCGAGCGCGGCGAGCTCGCCTGCTGGGCCTGCCCGCGATGCCGCCGTCGTCATCGCCGCCGCCACCGCACGGACGACGACGACGACGACCATCACAACCAGAGGGACAAGAAACTGTATACACATTACGGTACCGAGAAACTGTAAAGACATCTGAAATGACGTCCTGTGCACCATCAGGCCGACGACGACGACTACTACTACTACTACTACTACTACTACTACTACTACGACTACGACTACGACTACGACTACGACTACGACTACGACTACGCCTACTACTACTACTACTACTACTACTACTACCACTACTACTACTACTACTACTACTACGACGACGACGACGACGACGACTACGACTACGACTACGACTACTACTACTACTACTACTACTACTACTACTACTACTACTACTACTACTACTACTACTACTACTACTACTACTACTACTACTACTACTACTACTACGACTACGACTTACGACTACGACTACGACTACGACTACGACTACTACGACTACTACTACTACTACTACTACTACTACTACTACTACTACTACTACTACTACTACTACTACTACTACTACTACTACTACTACTACTACTACTACTACTACTACTACTACTACTACTACTACTCCTACTAACTACTACGACTAACTACTACAACTGCTACTTCTACGACTGCTACTACTACCGCTAACCACTACTACTACTACTACTACTACTACTACTACTACTACTACTACTACTACTACGACTACTACTACAATTACTACGACTGCTACTAATACTATTACTACTACTACTACTACTACTACTACTACGACTACTACTACTACGATCACTACCACTACGACTACTACTACTACTACTTCTACTACTACTACGACGACGACGACGAGGACTACTACTACTACTACTACTACTACTACTACTACTACTACGACTACCCATACGACTATGACTACTACTGCTACTACTACTACTACTACTACTACTACCACCACCACCACCACCACCACCACCACCACCACCACCAACCACCACCAAACCACTACTACTACTACTACTACTACTACTACTACACTACACGACTACTACTAACTACTACACTAAAAAACAAAACTACTGCTAGCTGCTACTACTACTACTACTACTACTACGACTACTACTACTACTACTACTACTACTACTTCCCAACCCTCCTGCGTTGGGTTCTGGTTTTGAATAGAGCACTGCTCGCGCGTTTCCTTCCCACCCCCTCCCGTCCCTCTCTTCCCCCCTGCATTTTGACCTCGCTCGTCGCTGCGTGCCAGCGTGCCTCCTACATCGTCATCCCTGTGCAAAGTTCGAGGCTGCTGGGGGCTGCGATCTGCGAAACTGTCGCCACTTTCGAGGGCTGCTGAGGGGCCCAGCACAGTGGGTACTCACCGCAAACTCAAATGGGACCTCGCCATCCCTGGGGGGCTGCGATATGCGAAACTGTCGCCAATTTCGAGGGCTGCTGATGGGGCCCAGCACAGTGGGTACCCACCGCAGACTCAAATGGGACCTCGCCATCTCTGGGGGGCTGCGATATGTGAAACTGTCGCCACTTTCGAGGGCTGCTGAGGGGCCCACCATGGGTACTCACCGCAAACTCAAATCGGACCTCGCCATCCCTGAGGGGGCCTGCGATCTGTGAAACTGTCGCCACTTTCGAGGGCTGCTGAGGGGCCCAGCACAGCGGGTACCCACCGCAAACTCAGATTAGACCTCGCCATCCCTGGGGGGCTGCGATCTGTGAAACTGTCGCCAATTCCGAGAGCTGCTGCGGGGCCCAGCACAGTGGGCACCCACCGCACACTCAAATTAAACCTCGCCATCCTTGGGGGCCTGCGATCTGTGAAACTGTCGCCACTTTGTAGGCTGCTGAGGGGCCCAGCACAGTGGGTACTCACCGCAGTCTCAGATTAGACCTCGCCATCCCTGGGGGGCTGCGATCTGTGCAACTGTCGCCACTTTCGAGGGCTGATGAGGGCCACAGCACAGTGGGTACTCACCGCAGACTCAAATTAGACCTCGCCATCCCTGGGGGGGGGGGTGCGATATGTGAAACTGTCGCCGCTTTCGAGGGTTGCTGAGGGGCCCAGCACAGTGGGCACTCACCGCAAACTCAAATGGGACCCCGCCATCCATGGGGGGCTGCGATATGTGAAACCGTCGCCACGTTCGAGGGCTGCTGAGGGGCACAGCACAGTGGGCACTCACCGCAGACACACATTAGACCTCGCCATCCGTGGGGGGCTGCGATCTGTGAACCTGTCGCCACGTTCGAGGGCTGCTGGGAGGCCCAGCACAGTGGGTACTCACCGCAGACTCAGATTAGACCTCGCCATCCCTGGGGGGCTGCGATCTGTGAAATTGTCGCCACTGTCGAGGGCTGCTGAGGGGCCCAGCACAGTGGGTACCCACCGCGGACTCAAATGGGACCTCGCCATCCCTGGGGGGGGCTGCGATCTGTGAAACCGTCGCCACTTTCGAGGGCTGCTGAGGGGCACAGCACAGCGGGTACCCACCGCAAACTCAGATTAGACCTCGCCATCCCTGGGGGGCTGCGATCTGTGAAACTGTCGCCACTTTCGAGGCTTCTTAGTGCCCAGCAAACAGTGCACCTCCACCGCAGCCATCAAAAAGATCAACGAATCCCAGGGGGGCTGCGATCTGAGAAACCGTCGCCACGTTTCTAGGGCAGCAGAAGGGACCCAGCAACAGTGGGTAACTCACACGCAGACTCAAATAAGACCCTCGCCATCCCTGGGGGGTGGGGCTGCGATCTGAGAACCCGTCGCCACTATCCGATGGGCAGCTGAGGTGCCCAGCACAGCGGGCACTCACCGCAGACTCAAATGGGACCTCGCCATCCCTGGGGGGCTGCGATCTGTGAAACCGTTGCCACTTTCGAGGGCTGCTGAGGGACCCAGCACAGTGGGTACTCACCGCAGACTCAGAATTAGACCTCGCCATCCCTGGGGGGCTGCGATCTGTGAAACTGTCGCCACTTTCGAAGCCTGCTGAGGGGTC